ATCACTGATGAGGGTCCACACAAACATCAATCCCACCTGTTTTGATCACACCAAATTGGAAACCTGTCAGGAGGAAGGAAAGACATATTGGATTACTAGAAATACTGCCACATTTAGGCAACGTCTGCTTGGAGAATGCCCTGTAGGAGAATCCTGGCTCTGCTTTGAACAGGAGGGGACTGAATGATGTAATAAAGGAAAAACAATTGAAGATAAAGAAAGGTGATCTGGATGAAACACTAGGCAAGAACCTATTCATTGACCTGATGGAGAGAATCAGCAGAGAGTTAAACTTAACCAATTGTTGGGTATGTGGGAACACCCAGATGTCAGATATTTGGCCCTGGGAAGGGATCAGCCTGGCACCTTTAGACATTCTAAGGTGGAAATTAACTGAGCAGAAACCCCAGACGGGGAACAAGGGACGGGAACAATGGGATCTGAAAGCAAGAGTGATTGGGGAAGAATGCATTAAAAGGACAGGAAAAAGATACAAAACCCCTGTGAGAAAAATGGCCTGCAAAAGATACCTAACTGTGAAAGACTCGGGTAGCAGGTGGATCCCCCAAAAACCAAACAGGTATTGGGCCACTGGGAGAAAGGAAAGGGGGTGTATTTATCAGGAGGGGTACAAACTGCATGAGTGCGCAGAAAAAAGAATAAACCCTTTTTGGGGGTTAAGAGAACTCTCAAAATACTGAGAACATCCTACAGACACACAGGACACTTTTTGGAAGGCCCCTGGAAGGCCCCTGAGTATTTATTTTGGATTTGTGAGAGCACTGCCTATACCCACCTCCCAGGGGATTGGGCAGGAAGCTGCACGATTGGGATAATAAATCCTGCTTTTTTCCTCCTACCTAAGGAATCAGGGTCATACTTGGGAGTCCCCTTGTATGATAACTTAAAAAAAGGCAGTCGAAAGAGGAGGCATGTATTGGACCTAAGAAGCAATCAGAAATAGAAGGGGAAGATCTAGACCCCTGAAGAAATAATTAAGACATATGGACTGGCCACGTGGGCCCAGGATGGATCCTGGGGGTATCGTACCCCAGTCTATATGTTAAATCGAATCATCCGTCTCCAGGCAGTATTGGAAGTGGTGTCAAACAGAACTGCCCTTGCTTTAGACCACATCAGCACACAATTGGCACAAACCAGGGCTGTAGTCTATCAGATTCAGCTGGCGGTGGACTACCTATTGGCAGATGAAGGAGGCATTTGTGGAAAGTTTAATTCCTCTGAATGTTGCCTGGAGATAGATGATAAGAGTGAGGTAATCAAAAACATCCCAAAAGAAATACGAAAGGTGGCTTATGTGGGCACCCAGGAATGGACTCCTGTGGTGAACTCAGACTGGTGGAATGACCTTTGGTCCTTCAAGGGAGAGTGGTGGAAAAAAGTAGTCTTTATTGCTGTCTGTGCATTTGCAAGTTTCTTGTTCCTACCCTGTTTACTCCCCTGTATAATCAAGGCAGTGACTACCACAGTACAAGCAAGCATCCAGATCCCTGAAATAAAAGATAAGAAGCAGGCCAGGATCATGTTAATGGAAACTCAAAGTCAGGATCGAGAGCACAAAACTGCCAGGGAAATATATGAGCAATATCGAGAATTAAGAGATAGATATTCCCAAGAGCCAGAAGTTAATGGTTGATGCGGGCTAGAGCCCAATCAAAATATAAGAGGGGGGATATTGTTAAGAATAATATGTTACAGTTGCTGTTTGTAAACCCCTTACTTACCTTGTACCCCTGTCCCAGGTTTACTTACCCTTGTACCCCTGTCGCAAATTGCTGTACCCCATATTTCTTGTTCCTTGTTCAGCCAGGCCCTGCCCCCTCTCCCAAGTTGCTGCACCCTGTGTTTCTTGTTCTGTGTTCAGTCAGGCACTGCCCCCACTGCTCCTAGACTCCCACATGCCAACACTGTACCCCTGCCCCAAGTTGCTGAACCGCCCTGAGGAGGAGGATGACGTAAGGACTTTTATGCAAACAAGAGAGACCAGAGACTTATGGGATGCACCCAGACTGGAAAAAGCCCCGAAACAACGAGCCATGCAAAAGGGAAGGAATAAAACCAGCACCATCTAACAAGGAAGACCCAGAGGAGTCCCCTGACTTCTTTCCAGAGGCTGACATAACCTTGAGGAGACTCGACTGGGATGACACCCTAGACTACGAGCCCAAAAGAACGAGTTTCCCCGGGGACTCCCGTGAGGAAGGAAGGCCCAGCTCTGCCCTAGTGACAAAGCTGCACAGATCCTCCTCTTCTGTGGTGTCCAGTGGGAGCAGCGGCGGTGTGCGCAACCCCTTGGGCCCCCACCCCAGAGCTGTCCCGTTTAATAAAGGCCTTTTTAAAAGGAGCTGGTCTCATGGCCCGTTTATCACACGTGGGCAGAGCGGGACCGCCTCAGTTTGCATCGTGCCGGTGCAGCCATCCCGCTCCATGGGGTCCTGGTCCATGTGATCCCAATCTCTGGTGCTGATCCATATGCTCCCAGCCTGTGCAATCCCAGTCCATACAGTCCCAGTGCAGTTTATCCCACTATGGTCCCAGTCCCTATGCTCCCAGCCTGGGCAATCCCAGTCTGTCGCATCCCACCACTCCAAATGTGGATCCCACCTCTCCCAATCTCCTTCCAACCCCATCTCACTCTGCCACCTGTGGAACCATTGAAGTTTGGGGTGGGATTGACTTTTCCTGCGGTGGAACAAGCCATTTTGAGGTGGGATTGAGCCCTTCTGGGAATAAGATTTACTT